CATGGCTACAAAATTTTCTTTATCACAAATCCTTCTTGGTGTTGAGATTTTGTTTCCCGTCAGTTTACATGTTCATATTTGTTATTCAAAATTGTTTTATTCATTATACACTCATGTTCATAAATTAAGGATAATGCAAAATCAGGCAAAGGAAGAGTTAGAAGCAAAACAAATTTGACTTATTTGTAAAGCTTATTTATTAAACAAAAGGTAAAGAGCAAAAAAAGATGCTATATGTTTGATACAGTCAAAAGTCGTTAATCCGGACTCGTCGAGACTTCGGCGATTCCGGATTATCGATTTTTCCGGATTATAGATCATCAGTTTAAATCTGTTAAGATGACATGCAGAAATTACAAAATTAAAAATTTGAAACCGTAATTTATGAAATAAAGAACAATTATGATCTAAAGGGTATCAAAATTTACAAAAAAAAAAAAGCTTAATATTTATTTTGTTTACTTTATTAACATTTCTTTCAATGTAAGTTGTTAAGTTGCTTGTTGTTTAAGTTTTATTGTTGTTAAGTTGCTTCCTTTCATGTGATAATACTTTTCTTTAATCTTTAACAGACATAATTTCTTGTTTAGTTACAAAGTCCGCTGTTCAGTCCTATAATTGCTTTAAATCATATCAAAGACGGAGTACATCGACGTGAAATACTACATTTAGTAAGGAATTATAAGCCAAATAAAATAAAAACATCGGCCGTGAAGATAAGGATAGTGCTGACAAATCAACTTCCAATTCATTATGCATAACGGCGTTTCCCCCCTCCCCCCGCCGCAGAGCAGCGTGAAATTGATAAACAAATTTCGGATTTCGAAACATACTTTCACTTTGTAAATCCTTTACATATTAGTAAATGTATATCGGAAATTCTATTTGACATAATCGAAAGTTCAAGCTTACTTTTATAAAATTGCTCTAACAATCTGCAAAAAATAATAAGCCGGATCCAATTTGAAGATTAAGGAACAACGCAATCTGCAACATTAACTGAATTAGTTAATTTTAGCTTACCTTTTACCGTCCGTTATACATTAAACGCACATGCGCACACATATATTTGCAGCCGTAAAGGTCTTACGCGCACGCGTAAACACCTCTGTGCGTGCGTCAAAGCGACGCATGCGCAGAAAGTTTGTAGCTTTGAGGTCCGGATTATGGGTGTCCGAATTAATGACTTTTGACTGTATAATTAAAAAAAATAGCAATTTTTTTCTCCTGGGAGAAAATTACAAAAAAAAAAAAAAAAAAAAAAAAAACTTTTTACAAAAAAACAATATTACATGGTTGGTATGATTGTTAATACATGTCTCCCAGACGATGTAGTACAGTCCAGTATGTCTCTCAGACTATGCAATACAGTCCGTACAACGCCTAGGCATGCTGAATATCAAATTATCGATCTGATCTTGGGGGATGTTACACCATTCAAAAAGCAATGCTCTCCGAAGTTCTGGTAGACATGTAGGAGGAGGTTGACGGGCTGCAACTCATCGGCCAAGTATGTCCAATACGTGCTCTACTGGATTCAAGTCCGGTGAGAATGCTGGCCAGTCCATACGGGTGATATCCTCTGATTGAAGGCATTCGCTTACGATGTTTACACGGTGAGGACGGCGTTGTCATCCATAAACACAAAGTGTACGCCCATCGCGCCCCGAAACAAAGGTACATGTTGTCCCAGAATGACGTCCCGATAGATTTGGCTTGTCATGGTTCCAATTTGAACAAGCAGGTCAGTTCTGGAACCCAGAATAATTTCCACCCCCAAACGAGCACTCCTGCACCACCGTAACAATGTCGTTCAATGATGTTTTCTTGGTGGTAACGGGTACCAGGAGCTCTCCATATGAAAGTCCCGCGAGAATCAGACTGCAAGCTAAACCTGGACTTGTCAGAAAAAAATCACACAAGCCCACTGTTGCGGTGTCTACAATGCATGCTCTGTACTCCAGGCCAACCGCAGGCGACAGTGAGTTCAAGCAAGTGGAACGCATCAGACAAGTCTACGAGCATATAGACCAATCTGCCCTAAGCGTCTGTACACGGTCTGCCTTGAAATTGTCGTACCAGTGGCTGAAGAGAGCTGACAAAACAGGTCTGAGGCTGTGCTCCGCCTGTTTCTTTTGGCAGTAACTGCCAAATACCCGGTCCTCATTCGGCTTGTTAACTCTGGGGCGACCCTGTGCTGTAACGTCTACTACACATTACCATCATTTTTTGGAATCGTTGCCAAAGCCTGGAGATGACACTCTGGGCAATTCAAGTTCGTCTGATACTTTCCAGTTGGGTACGCCCACATTCCCAGACGGCCCGATAATTCTACCACGTAAAAAAATCATCCAAATGCGTCCTTTGTGTCATAACTATTCGGTTTATTGCACTGAAATGCTTATAAAGTGCCTGCGAACAATTTTACTTCTTTGCCTGTATTTCTTATATATCACTCTCTTACAATCTCGTCATTGTGACGTACCATCGGTGTCATCTGGTTACTTCCTGAAATTTGCATATGATTCTTGAAGATGTGTGTAGTAATTTTACAGGTGATATATTTATTTTAGAGTTTGATTTCCGTATGACTCCGAATTATCCTTAATTTTTGGACATGAGTGTATAAGACCCTTCTAATTTAATTTTACCCACTATATTGTAAACAGAGTGCTCTGTAATGCAGCAATAGGCCTAAATTAAGTCTAACATAAAAATGATTTTGGGCTTGTTGTGAGGTATAAAATTTATGAATACTTTGTATTTTGCTCAACTGAGAAATTTATTTTATTTCATTCTCTTTTATTATTTTACTTTTTCACATTGAACTTAACTCAGTACATATTTTACTATTATCAAGCACCATGCAAATGAGCTGAGAGAAAGGAGTGTTTGAACAAATGTTTCAGAACTTCGAGATGTGTAGATAATTTTCTGTTTTATCTTAATTTCGTAATGTATTTTCATCCGAAAAGCATTTCATAAGAGGGAAGCAGTGGATGTCTCCTTTTCCCAGGTACTCCAACCACTACATGTGTTCTGTCTTTAAAAAAAAAAGGCACTTTAGCATTTGCATCAAAATCTATGACACATTTATTTTTTATCTACATCTTAAAGTCTCTTTTTTCTGAGGGATCTCAATATAAATTCTACTGTCAGCTTTCTCAGAAATTTTGCTACCTTCAGTGAAGATTTTGATGCCATTTTTTGATATGCTGTGTATGATTTCCAAGGTCATCTGTTTAAAGGTGGTCAATGACAAAATCTTTTTAGTTAATAGGAGAAGAAAGATTGTGGACCTTCGAGAATCACTTTGAGGGACCAGAGTAATATTGCAAGGAATAGGGCTCAATGTCACAATAAGGTATGTGCTGACATTAGATATCCGCTAATTATTTCAGCATTGTTATCTTTGCTATAAAATAATTACTTCTACCACATTTCTTTGTCATGTCTTTAATTTTAGAAACATCTGCAGCTTTGTGACTGATATTGCATATATCTAAACAGTTTTCCCATGATTTTTCATTTGATCAAATCTGAAAGATTAGGTATTTCATTCGCTATTATGTTGTTTGGTGGTGATCTCCAAAGAAGAAAGTCTTCTTTAGGTCTTTTTAACTAACTATAACAAACAAATACTATTGAAACTACTAACCCAGTAACATCAATGTATTCATCCATTTATAATCCAAATTTAATTTACCTGATGTGACTAATAAGTGCCTCTTTCAAGTTATCAGTCTTATCTCTGACTCACCTAAGAAAGGGATTTCTTTCACAAAGGGATGTTGGAGGTTAACTTAGAGCTATTTTGTCAAGTAAGCATTTGGCAATATCAGTTATACAATCTTTAGTAAGAATCTTTAAAATAAAACATACTTTACCATACTTTTTTTACTTGAATCATATGTTTTTTTTTTTTTTTTTTTTTTTTTTTTTTTTTTTGTTTTGTTAATGGTTTTAGAAATATTTTCATGATTTTTTCCGATGGCAAAATTTTGGTGCATTTCCTTGTAAAAATTTTAGACAGACTGCCTTTCAATTCAGAATGGTTTTCTCAAAATTATGTTGGATATTAGTAGGAAAAATGCAAATATTGGTAAGCATATAATCACAAATTACACATTGAAGTCAACCATCATTTGCTTCTGTGAATACTTTATTCTAGTATTTTTGTTTTTTATTTAGGGGATCCCCCCTCTACTACTGCTGCATTTCTGTTGCATTGTGCAAATAATGATTAAGTGGTTCTAGAAAACTTATGTGACACATACAAAATAAAACAAACACCCACTAATTGCCACCCAGACGGTATAGTGGTTAGGGAAGCCTGGGTTCGAATCCCGGAGAAGGCATGGTTGTAATTGTCTGTCCCTTTAAAGGAGGTGATGGTTGCCTACCTATTAGGTGCCTCCAAAATAAAGAGACCACCACATCTGGCCTTGTATAGATTAATGGACTGTGTTACTCTGTAATTGTTCACAATCTGCCATCGGATAAAAAAAAATCCACTAATTAACTCTCACATACGAAATGAAGCTTACGTACAAAATAAAGCAAATATCCACTATTATTATAAGCAAATAGTATTACTATTTTTATTAAAAAGTAAAATCTTTGAATAGTTTTCCTTTGTCTTGTATATCAGCAAAATTCAGTTATTCATAAACTATGAAATCTTTACAATTCATGATTAATTTACATATTATGAGTATATAGAAGTAAATATTTCTACATTTTTTAGTTTACTTGTCACATGCGTTTAGAGTTAGATATTTCTTCTCAGTGGAAAAGTTTTTTTTTTTTTTTTTTTTTTTTTTTTTGTTGTTTCACATTGTAGATATGAATTTATGCTATCAGCTTTTAAAATAAAATCTTATTTCACATTTATCCCTTCCCTTCTTTCATAGTTTAAAAATTTTAGGTATTGAGTGTATTATTATGCAAGCATAAATTGGATTTGTCCAGATTAATTGCAGAAATTTTCTCTAATCTAGATATTGGAGCTGCCTTCTGTTAGTGAAGAAAAGCCGGGGAAACCAGATGAAAGTGAGATAAAAACACGAAAAGATCTCAGATCTTCACATTTTATTTTTAGCATTGATCCTAAAGGCTGTGAAGATGTTGATGATGCTTTATCAGTAAAGTAACTATCACTGCATTTATATAGTAATTATATAGTTTTTAATTTCTGCCTGTTTCTGCTTAAAATGAATATATAATAATAAAGTTACACTGAAAAATAACTATTTCAACTGGAGTTAAAATTTTTACACTTTGGATATTGTGTAGCCAAAAAACTAATAAATATATAATTGCATTTTTATCAGTTCTTCATTATGGCAATTTTCCTTCATTATGGTAAAATGAATTGCAGTTTTAATATACTGTATAGTAGACTTTTTTTAATATATATGATGCTAACTTGGTAATATAGGCTTTTTATTGTACATGAATAGTTTCTTAAGTCCATAGTCAAGACATGTTATATGTAGATTTTTTCAATATTTTAGCCTTGTTTGTGTAATAAGAACTACAGAACGTGCTCTTATATATTTTCATAAATTATAGCTATACACCAATTTAAAAAAGTCTTCCCCCCCCCAAGAGCTTAAAAGGGCTATCAGGTTCAAAACTTAATTTTGCATTGTTTCCCTTTAAATGTTGCCTACTGCAAATGCGTCATTTTGCCTTTCATTCAAGTTTGTTGCCATTCAGTAAAATGTAATATCTTTCAAATTTAATCCATGGTACTGATTAATAAACTAAGCTATTTAAAAGCAATAGGTTCAGTTCTTAAAAATACTAGGTTTTTAATTTTTAATCTGATTGATTTAAATAAAAATGCATTTATTTTTTTATATATCTCATTAAATATTTTCATAAAATTAGATTTTTTTTCACTTTCTAAAATACAGAAGATACATAATGTTCCCATGTTACTCTTAAAATATATACATCTTGTATCTTCTGAAATGTTTCGCTGTTCCACCTAGGTCATCTCTATTGATAATTTCTACTGATAAACCATAACAAATTTTAGAAGAGCCCTTTTGAGCAACCATTAAAAATTTAAACCCTCTTAAAAAAAATTAAACGAAAGATCTTATAATAAATGTTTTATCTCAAACCAACAAACTTTCAATTTTTCTTTTACGAAATTTTTATTCCTGATATGAGCTATTTTAGTAACCATCATTAAACTAAGCCCTGTTCATCCCCTGTACCTTAAAACAGGCCTATATAAATAGGTTTTAAGCAATCTTTCTCTTGACATCTTTCACTTGAACAGTCTGGAAATACCACTGACTTTGTTTCACTCTATATTCAAAACCTAGAAGTAAAATGTTGTTAATCTTGCTTTCCATTGCATAATGCATGTTAATAAGTTTTGAATATGATAATTAGTAGAGAATTTTAAGTGAAATCTCTATTTCTCGCAAGCTTTCTTTTGTTGAAAAGGTCAAGTTCCTTGCATATAACTATTAGGATATGTTTAGCAGTATTGACAGTTTTAAGTTTTGAGGAAGAGCTGATAGTTACTGTGTACTAACTAGATGATAATCCTTTAGTGAAAAAAAAGATATGCTTGTTGACCAATTTATCGTACTATCTTAAAGTTGATTCCTTAACAATGCCTGTTGGTTTTTATTCAAATGTTGGTTAATTTTCTGCTCTGAAAGTTGATAATTATAAATATGGCTGAGTCAAAAAGCGAAAAAAAATTGTATTTGAATAAACCAGTTTTTAATTTAATTATTTAAATGCAATATTAAATAAATCTGAGAGAAATATTGATACTCATTAGTAGTTTATGGGTGCTGTATCTGAGAGCCTATTTGAAGTGAACACATTTTTGTTTTTTTAATTCTTTATGTTTTTACTGAATTATTTTAGTATTGACTAGTTTGTGATCAAACTGTGGTAATAATGAAATAAAAAATCAAGCTGTTAAAAAAAGGTTGTACAGTTAAACTATCAAAAATATATACCCAGTAACCAGTAGCACCATCAGCGCAAAAGTATATCAAAATGGTAGCCATTAGCAGATGTTTACTTATGAAAACATCTAACTTATATAAGATATTGCATAATTATTTCTCAGTGAAGGTTTATAAGCCACCTAGCAATAAGTTTCCTTAATTTTTTATTTCTATGAGAGGAAGAATAAATTGTTTTGTTATATTAGTTTATTTCAAGCAAATCTTGAAATGTTGCTTAATTTTGAAGATAATTCTGGGAAACTAGTTAAGGATTGTAAAATTAATTTTATGCATTATTTTCTTATTTTTATTCTTACTTGTATATATAAAAGACTTTGTTGTTGTAATTTTTAAGGGAGCTGTCAAATGGTATGCTAGAATTGGGTGTTCATATTGCTGATGTAACATATTTTGTTCAGCCATTATCTGCAACTGATCTTGAAGCCAGAAGTCGATCCACATCTGTTTACTTACCAGATCGCCGTTATGATATGCTGCCTCAAGTACTCAGTGGTAATTTGTGTTCCTTACTAGGAAATGTTGACAGGTATTTAGTTCTTTTATATATGCATCTTTTTTTTTTTTTTTTTTTTTTGTATTTTCTATGTAAAGGAATAAGGAGATATTAGAAGAGTTTTTTTTTTTAATCAAAATCTTAGGAAAGTAATTTGATTCTTTAATTCTTGTGGGAAAATGTAAAATGTCTTTGAGTATATGCAGTAATATTTAACAAGCAATTCAAAAAACCTTTGTGAAAGAAGAAATAAATAAAATTTAACGCATTTTTTACCATTAAATATTATCTTTTATCAATATTGTTTTCTGTTTTTATAAATCTTCGTTAAAAAATCATTTCATGGAAAATTCAAAGTATTTCATTGCATTTTGCTTGTATTCAGATGTTCAACCTATGCATTAAAGGTATTTGTGTGTTATTCATATATCTGTTTTGCATTACTTTGTCATATGAAGCACATTCAAAAATAAGGATTAGCCAGTCTTAAATTAAACCTCAACACAGAAAAATCACTTCTAGCGTACTAAGAAATAATAATATATTTCACTAAATTCATTAATAAATGATAAATACTCTCTCCTTGTAGCTATAATGTAACTCCATGCAATTTACCACTCTCTTACATTGTGGGAGGGGAAAAGAGAAAGGGGGAAGTCCTCTTTGCTGGATGACTGCAGTGCATTCGTCAGCTATGCACTGACCTTGAATGTAGTGGCTAATGACCAAAGAGAAACAGGACATGGTAGCACATTTCGCTTTGAATTTTTGATACTAGAACTGATGAATAAATGCATAACTGCAGATTAAATGCAGGTAATAAGAATTTTACTCCATGAATGAGTTAAAAAACAGTAATTCTTTTCTTCAAATTAAATGCATTGACGTGCAGCACAGGCATTAGAACCACTGAGACGATGGGGTATAAGATTCTGGTTAATATTTTAAATCACGTGAGGTCTGAATTAAATCACACATATTATCCAGAATTATTATTTTCATTCCATCACCTGCACATTAGTAACCAAGTGACTGAAGCCGCAGTGTTAGGAATACAGTTTAAAGTATTTCTTTCCCTCCACTAGGTGTTCCACAAATGAAAGTAATTTAGCTTATTGTTGGCATACTTGCTGTAGCTGTTTGTTATATTTCTACTTCATTCTGGTACAAACATATAGAAAATGTTTTATATAATGCATACATCAAGATGTAAAGTGCCGTCAGATTAAACAGCGTTTTGTCTAAAACAAAAAAATCCTTTCTTCAGGTAAGATGCCACCACCATTCAGCAGCTCTTGTCAACCCAAAGAAGGGTAATGAAATTTCTTACTTATTAACAAAAAGTGCAATCATAACAGAACCTTTTGTTGGATTCTGATGCTGTTTATCAATGGTAGTTGATTGATTACATGCAGATTACTGGTAGTTCATCCAGTACATAGTTCCCAACAGTCATACAGACTGGCTGTGTGGATTTTTATGGTTTGCTGTATTTGTAACATAATACAACAGCATTTTTTATGGAAGTTTGTGGCCATTAAATGATATTTTACTGAGATTCGATTCCTGCCAATTACATGGATCCTACCAGCACTTCTGTAATTCGAGTATGAGCCAGTTTTTCTGAAAACATCATCTTTGACCACATCCCTCATTTTTACTTACATATCATCACAACCACCTTATAGAAGTTGCCAAATTTTCAGGATGTACCAAACTCACATAGGCATAAATAACTATTGTGCACAAATACACATGCTGTTCACACATTTTTTAGATGATGTATATTGTATTCACAAAACTAAATTACATAAAATTCTTGTGTTTTAAATGTTCTATTTGACATCCCTTATTCTGAACTATCTTTCGACACCACAATTTCCAGGATAATAATGCCTTTTGAAGTGGCAGAAGAGATATTCTATCCCATTCCTCCCGAACAACTTTCTATAGTTCTGTTAGGGTTTGGGGATAACGTTTGGATAATGCAGTTTTTAAAAGTCCGAAAGCACAAAAATCCACTGGTGACGCATCGGGAGATTTAGTAGGGATATCGTTGAAGGGTATGGCCTTGATACCAGTTTTTTGTTCCATTTCTTTTAGGAAATTTACAGTGGATTTTGATGTGTGACTGCTAGCTTTGTCCTGATGGAGTCTCACAGATTGATGGCACTGTGAGTAAAGCGATGGTATTTCATTCAGAACAATTGGCGATAAATATGTTTCCTGTTGGTTAATCTTGACATTTTTTTGCACTCTCTTTATTTTTAACTTGCCATTATAAGAAAAACCAGCAACAATCATGAATCCCCTTAGAAAAACTTTCTTTCGATTCTTTGAACCATGTACTTAAATTTTTTTCTCCCTTTTATGATAATAAATGACTCTTTTTTTGTTACAATCATTTAAGTACACCCCTTCATCATTGTGACAATTGTTTTTTCATTTTTTTTGGATAAGTATTTCTCATATAGAATTCTGCAGCGTGTCCTGCATTGAGCGATATGCTTTGGAAGAAGACGATTGCACACATGCATTTTTTCGCTTTCTTAAGATTTAAATCAACGTTTATCACTTTGTTACAGTGGACACCAAACATTTAATGATTTTTGCAATTGTCCTTTGACTAGGGGGATTTTTCTTTAACATTAAACACGTACCTTTGCATAGTCGAAGATGTCCGTTTTTTCCTTGGATACTTGTTTGGAATTTTTGTCCCACTTGAGGCTCCAGTTTGATGTTTTTTTCCTTTCTTGTTGATAATATTACCTATCGACGCTTTAGATATCACAAAACCATGACTCTCACATCGTTTTTGGATAACGGAATATGCATATTTCTCTTTGGAAAGAGCGTAAACATAGCCTTCGAACCACTGCTTTGTTAAATTCGCCATTTTGAATAACAGCAAAACTTTCAAGCCACAGATGATAATTTTGACTTTTAAAAACATAGTACAATTGCAATTACTTCTTTTGCAGCAAACGATTTTTTATTACCGCTTACCAAAATCGTCTAAAAAATGTGCGAACTACCTCTGTATTCTTCAGGTAACCATGCTCATAACAATCTTTCAAATAACAATACTTCAGTCAAGCAACATTGCCATTTTCATATGTGTTGTTTTTAAGTTCCGATTGTTTTTATAAAAAAATTGCAATATTTTTTGCCTTCAACTCAATTTTGAAATATCGCTAGTGAAATTTGCCAGCAGTGGAAGGAAATGTGGTAAAAATTCAGTAGGAATGTGGTATTTTGCTTCAAAATTGCTGAAGAGAGTTGTGATGAGATGAATTTGGTAGATAGTCAGTATGCAATGAGAAGTTTCTGCAGTTCTCTGATTTTTTTTCATCGAAAATAGATTGGTGTATACATGGTGAGAAAAACGGCATTAAAATTTAGAGAAAATTTCGCAAAAAAATAATTTATTTTTTAATCTTTATTTTATAATTAATTTTTTTTTAATTTATTTTTCAAACACATTAATGTTTTTTTTTTTTTTTCTTTTTTATGTTAATATGTGCCAACTTATAATAAATATTGGATATTTGAGAATGTTTTTAAAAGAAAGCCACAAAATCACCAACTCGTACCAGGTAAATAATTTTTACTTTTTCATCTATAAAAGACCGCCAAATTGTGCTAACGGGTTACATTATGAAATCCATGAGAAATTTACATTGATACTAGAATATTGGTACATTTCTAGAATGTTGTTATTTTTCTAATTTTAGACTTTACTTAATAATTTATTGAATATTTTTTTTTATTTGTTTCTTTTTTTCCATTAACCATTTAAAGAATTCCGAAGTGTTTTATTGTGTTTCTTGTAAGTCTTTTAAAAATATATGCAACTTTTCATCTTAATCACTTATCTTAATTAAAATTTACCATCATTTAGGTATGCAGTTAGTGTCCTATGGGAATTGGATTCAGAATGCAATGTGCAAAATGTTTGGTATGGGAGAACTGTAATAAATTCGAGATACAAATTATGTTATGAGGTGATTATTTTTTTTAACTTGCTCTGTATTTACAGCGTATTTTTTCTTGACAAATATTTTATTTATATGTATTTAAAATATTTTAAAACTTATATAATGAATCTTTGAGCTACAAAAAATTAATATTTGAATAATGATGGTATAAATAATAAATAAACCTAATTTCTTAGAAATTAATTTTTTACAGCTGTTTAATCCTTTTTAAGTGTTATGCATACTTAAATTGTAAATCTTACTTTAAATTTGTATTAACTATACAAAATGAAAACATGCTGATGAAATTTGAAATATGTTCTTAACTTTTATTAAAGTTGGTAAAGTTATAAAATCAGCTCATGCTTTTGAGCTTTCTAACTTGAAATATGCAGGGTTTTTATTGTTTTAACAACCGTTTGACGTTATTTAAAAAAAATAATAAAAACTTAAAATTAAAAAAACTGAAAAACTGTTTGTTCTTCTAAAATTTCATAACTGACAGATATTTTATGATCTTTGGCATTTTGATAGAAGAAGGCTTGTTCATTTCGATTTTCTGTTCAAAAAGAATTAGGTAGCTCAAAAAATATTTTGCATTTTAATTTTAAAAAATGTAATAATAAAATTCTAAAGAAATTCAAATCTAATCTTATATGCAGATTTCAGTTTAATGCCTGAAACCAATTTATGCTAAGCAATTTGATAGACTTGTTAGTTGAAGAATTAATCCTTCAAAAATTAGGCATAGAGCATGACATCTTATATTTAAATTAGGCTTTTAAATATCGAAACATAATGGTCATACTAAATCTTTTGAAAAACTTTCTATAATATCATTCTATTATAAATTAATTCTGCTTGGATACTTTTACATTTATTTAATGAAGAAAATAATAATTATATTATAACTTTAAATCACTAGATCTCTTGTGCATGAGCCTTGCAAAAAATATTTCCCTCAAATGCCTTCTGTTTTGCAGGACCTAAATTGAAAACAATAAATGTCTTAAAAAGGTTTTCTTAAAGATATTTAATAAGGCAGGTTGTAAATCATCTATAAGTCATTTTATTGCAACTAATTACTTATGTTTTTCCGAGTTTTAAAATAATATTAAAAGGGAAAAAACATAGGTTTAATATATATATATGTAAAAAAGCTGACAAATTACATAAAGATTTTGCATGATGAGAATTTTACTTGGCTATAGAAGAACTCTCAGAACTTTCCCGATGTGTAATATTATAATTTTACTCCAAAATTAACATAGAAAGTACACTGAGAATGTCTGACAATTCATCTCTGAAGAAGCATAGGAAAAAGAGATTCTGTTAAATTAGCTAGCTGTTTTAGACTCCAGAATTGCTCTCACCTACCCCTCAACATGTCTGCTTCCATCATTCTTTCTCATTCTTCTTCAGCCAAAAAACAACACGACTTCACGCAAATGCTCCTAAGTGACAACTACTCTATTGTGGCGAGGAGAACACCACTCTGCATTCAGGCAAACCCAAGGTGTCACAGTCTTCTCCAGTAGAAATAAGGGTATATTAGTAAACTATATAGAGTGTTCCAAGTTTGGCTGAAATTGCTTCTTTGTTGATTTACCTTATTACGTCGTTGGAAAAGGTCAACAGCATTGAAAATGCACTTTCTGGCATGTAGACCTCCATGTGTCCATGCTTCAGACTGTAAGTACATTCCAGCTGCTAGCCCCCAACCATGGTCACAAGCGAGAATCCCCAAGCATCAACCTCTTTCCTTCAACATTTTACAGGGTAAACCGTTGAAGGATTTTTCTAGCCTTACAGTTAAGCCCCTTATCCAATAGTCACAGGATATTCCTCATTCTTTTTTGCCTCAAAAATCTCATCCAGGAGAGAAAGCCCCCCTTCTGTACTGACAAAACGTGAAATTGTAAAAATAGATAAAAAAATAGTTTTGAATATTTAAATTCAGATACAGCTTTTCTAGTTACCAAATTCTTTACAATTACATAAAATTTTTACCATATTTACAAGTAAAATTAATGCCACATTAAATTAGAAGCTAACTAGTTACAAAATTTAATACTCTTTTAAATTTGAGGCCAACAAGTTGCACAACACAAAAGAAGAAAAATGTATGTGAGAAAATAATAATGATGCATTTCCCATATGTTGATATCAAGATTAAAAGTGCTAGGATAAAATGATCTGCAGTATCATGTTAAACTAATCTATAAAAAAGATTAATAAGCTGACTTTATTTATTCTCTTTATGAGATTAGCAATTAATTCTGATGATAATTATCTTTCAGATATGTTCAATTAGGAATAATTTTTTTCTATGGAATCTATTTTATGATTATTGCTTTCTTGGCAATTTACCAGCATAAAATTCTGATTTCTCCAACTGGGCAGTCAAAGTTAGAATAAGTTTTTCTATCTGTTGGTAAAATATAATAAAAAGTCGTTCGTTCCAGTTATTATATTACTGACTGGAACACCATGACGAAGTTCCAGTCAGTAACAAAAGTCAATTCCTTCATGGGTCCTTTGATCATGTCTCTTATAAAAGTTCAGTGAAAATGCATTAAAGTGTAATGATAGATTACCAGTGCATTACTTTTCAGACTCATCAAAATGTTAAATTCTGATTAAATTCAGTCCCTGAAAGCAGCGGGTGGGAAAAAAAAAAAAAAGCTGTTGATTATGATGTCTTAGTTAATTTTTTATTTAATGTTTAACATACAAATTATTATTTTCTTAAAGAACTAATAATGTAAATTAGTACTAAATTTTGATAATGTTTGGAAATTTAAGCAATAAAACATGAAATTTTTAACAAGCTCTATAAATTTGAAATTTTTGTTACACCGCTACTCAGTAACTCTAATAAGTAAAATCCATTAACTATTAAAAAGCAGAAAATTCTTAATTTCATATTCTTGTTAAAAATAATACATCTAAAAATTTAAATTCCTTTTATATTTTACTATAATCCTCAGGTAATTTGCCTTTAAGCCAAAAATTCTAACTTGTAATAACAAATTAGAAATATAGTTTTATGTGATAGATTTGAAACAGAGTTTACTATTAGTCTGGCTTGCAAATACATGTTAAGCAACCCTAATCCAAAAGTCCAGTTTTCTACTGTCATCATAACGCCAAAAGGGAAAAATTACCCTCTTGATCTATGTAAGGTATCCAAAATTATGTTTACAATTTAGAGGAAGATTGAAGATGTAAAGAGTCATATTCATTTAGGAATGTGAGACCAGAAATACTGCAGAAAACTGCTAGAAGAGAGAAAAGATATAGAAATAATACAAGTCAGTCAGTTGTGGGAAAGTTTAATTACAGCTAGTTCATTATAAAGTCAGGATAAGAAGTTCAAAATAAACATCAGTAGCAAATGATACATGCTCTTCTTATGACAGCTGAAGCTTCAGTGAAGAAATCATAAATTGCTCCTTTGAAGCAGTAGTTAACAGCATCCTATTACACTTTCCAATAGCAATTCTATTCTTTTTAATGTTCTCCAAGTTCATTCATAGGTATAATTTGACTCTTTCTTGTATTTGTGTGTGTATATTTATATATATGTGTGTGCATATATAAAAGTATTACAACATTTTTAATTTTAAAACAACGTTATCTCATTATTATTTCCGTGCAGTATGCTGCCAAAAAATTAATCAATCATTTCTTACTTTTTGTCTATATGTGTATATGTATGTGTGCATGTGCATGTTCATATATACACATGTAATTCCTGTATATATATACGAGGTGTATTCGGAAACTAAGTACCGTTTAAAAAAAAAAAATAGTAAAACCATTTTTTCAAATCCAATTTTATTTTTACATGAAAATACATGTCTTAAACTATTTTTCAACATAGTTTCTGCCAATAATCAAACACTTGTCATAGCGGGTGACCAGTTTTTGTATACCATCGTCAAAGAAACTTCCCGCCAGTTTTTCGATAACCACGACTCCACAGCATTTTTCGTGTCCATCGTCAGATCCAAAAGCGCTTGCCACCAAGCTCGCGCTTCATGGTGCAGGAACAAGTGATAGTCGGACGGCGCCAAGTCCGGGCTGTACGGCGGGTGATCGAACTGCTTCCAATGAAACTGTCGAATTAACGATTGAGTGACACCAGCAGTATGGGGCCGAGCATTGTCATGGAGCAACACAGTTCCTTTACTGAGCATTCCTCTTCGTTTGTTTTTTGAATTGCACGCCTTAGTTTTGTTAAAGTCTCACAATATCGTGCCGCTTAATGGTTTCACCTCTGGAAAGAAATTCAGTAAGCAAAATGCGCCTTTCCTATCCCCAGAAGACAGTGCACATGATATTTTGTGATGACATTGTCACTTTGAACTTTGTTTTTTCGGAGAATGAGTGTGTCTCCACTCCATCAATTGTTGTTTCGATTCTGGTGTGAAATGACACACCCAAGTTTCATCACCTGTCACAATTTGGTTTAAAAAAATTTTTCTCTCCCTCATCACTGTACCGCGTGAGAAATGTCAGGGCACTACCAAGTCGCTTTGTTTTGTGAACATCAGTGAGCATTTTTGGAACCCATCTGGAACACAGTTTGCGATAATTCAAGCAGTCAGACACAATTTCGAACTAAACAGTACGTGAAATTTGTGGAAATGCCTCTGAAAGAGTTGTCATTGTGAAGCATCTGTTCTCATGAATTGCTTCATCAACTTTCCTTACCAAATCATCGTGACAACAGAAGGCCGACCACTCCGAGCCTCGGCGTGGACATTTGTTCGACCTGCATTAAACATTCTTACCCACTTTCTCACCATTCCATCACTTATTGCATATTCACCGTAAACATCTGTCACTTGACGATAACTTTCGGCCGGTTTAAACATTTTTCCTCGCGTTCAAAAATTTAATCACGGCACGAATCTCACAGTCAGCGGGAGAACTAATTGTCTTAAACATTTTGAATGTGCACAGCAAACTGAAAACACAACATAGAGCAACCAAAATGGCGACAATTGAAAGTCAGTGAATAAGAAAGACTAGTGCGCATGCGCGGACGCCTGCCACAGCACTGCGACGGCGCTAGAATGAAACGGTACTTAGTTTCCGAATACGCTACATATATATATAGAAGACTCTCTCTTATGTGCATAATTACTGTATACACTCGTGTAATGTACGCTCCCTAACTTTGCAGATAAAATTAAAAGTGACTTGCACAATGTCCGCACACCAAAAACTAAAGAATTCTTACATTAATTTTTTTTTTTTTTTTTTTTTTTTTTTTTTTTTTTTTTTTTTTTTTTTACATCGCCTTTTTTCCTTTAGTTAATATCAATAGTCAATAAACATCTGTAAAGAAAGAATATGCATTTGTTTTGTCTTTGTTTGGTGCCAGGATTGAAAGCGGTGACTTCCCTTGCATTCTGGTGCAGCTGTTATTCTGTCATAACATCGGCACCAGCAATCCACTCAGCAGACGCGATAATAAATGAAGGCAGTCCAAACAGGTTTCACCACACTGGCTTCCAAGAAATACTGTTTTGTAATGAAATTACTTTCCCCTCCTTTCTCCTTAGAGCATTCACATATTTCAGCCTTTCTCTTTTCACTCATAGTATCATTTAGAATTCTTAGTACAGTACAAAGTCCTTTATCCAGACTCGTCGGGTCTTCAGCGATTCCAGATTAGGGGTTTTTCCAGATTATAGATCATCATTTTAAATCTGGTGAGATGGCATGCAGAAATTATACAATTAAAAATATGAAACCATAATTTATGAAATAAAGAACAATTATGATTTAAAGGGTATCAAAATTTACAAAAAAAAAGCTGAATATTTATTTCTTTACTTTATTAAACATTTCTATCAATGTAAGTTGTTTAAGTTGCTTCCTTTTTTGTGCTAATACTTTCTCTTTAATTCTATAAATAGACATAATTTCTTGTTCAATTACAAAGTTCCACTGTTCAAGTCCTGCAATTGCTGTGTCGAGAATATCGACTAGCTTGTCAATCAAAATTTTTTCGTTTTTAATAACCTCTCTGTCACTTTCTTCACTATCGGAAGCGCTAGGGTAAATGCTTTACGCGCATGCGTAGCGGACGTGTGCATTAAACATGCATGTGTAGCGGATGCGCGCATTAAATGTGCATGCGTAAGTTTGTGGCTTTGAGGTCCGGGTTATAGATCATTCCAGATAATGGACGTCCGGATTACGGACTTTGTACTGTAGTTAGCATGTAACGTGCTTGAAATGGGAAAATACAGCAGCTATACTATCATAGAATTTGCACAGGAAAATGGAAAAAGAGCAGCAGCAAGAGTATATAAGGTGGACGAAAGTCTGTGCACAATTGGAGCAAACAGCGTGATCAGCTGGCAGCAACGAACAAAACAAAAACATCCATTTCTGGGTTCGAAATGTAAGTTTTCAAACTTAGAAACAAAGTGGTTGCATATGTTCATGATATGCATGATCAAGGGTCCGCAGTAACATTGGAAATGTGCCAAATAAGAGCGCGTGCTGCAGCATGAGAAGAAGACATTCCTACATCGCAATTAAAGGCGACTGAAGGCTGGTTGCGGTGAATGATGAAATGAAATGGGTTTTCATACAGTGCGTCAGAACAGATTTTTTAAAAAATAATGTGGGGAAAAGGTTGTTGTTGTCTATGCTCACTTGTCTGACGTAGTCAGCCCAAGCCCATGAAATTTCTCATGGCAAATAGTGCTAGATTATGCCTGCCATTGGCAACAGCCTTGAGCACCATTCAGATGACAGTTTGATTTAGCTCGGTTCCACTCCCAATTTTTGATGGAGAGCACACCCCGGGGGTGACGGATCCGAGGGTCTCCAACCTCTCTCCCCTTCCACCAAACCATATGAGAGGACTTTCGGCTCGCCGCATATTTAGAGTGCTACCATGCAGCACCAACACTATACATTTACAAATGCCCATGCCTTCTCTGGGATTCGAACCCAGGCTCTATGGCACGGCAGTCGGCAATGCTAACCACTGTACCGGTTGGGCAGCATTCACGATATTAAAAGAACCAACGTTTATTTAATTTGTGTAAAAGTAAATATTAAAATTGCAACTGTTGGTTAATTTGTGTTTCTATATTGTGCTCCTGTGTGAACTAATATGCGCCGAGTATTGATAATGTAAACGAGGTAATTTATATTATATATGTGGATGGGAGAAAGTGAGTTTGTAAATTTTAGGTAGCTATTAGACAACTTTAAATTTGATACTTTTATTACTTACACCATTTTCTTCCACTTAGAACTTAACTTGGCTGTTTGAAATGAAATTTGCTCCCAAAATTACTCACAAGAAAAAGCGAAACATTTGAACGACACATGTAATGTCTGCATCTGCATTTTAGTAATGTAATTTCAGTAAAAAAGTGCGAACATTGCATGAGCGCATATGGTAATTCTCTTATATGTATTAATTCCCTTGGCCTTTGTTCTTTTAAAACATATTAAGCTATTTAATATATAATAGTTGCTATTTAAGGTAGCAACACAAACAGAAATCCTTTACTGCCTTGTTTATTACCTATAAAAAAATATTTGCTTATTTAGGCTGCACAAGATATACTTTTTGGAGCTACAGCTGAAGAAATGATTTCAGAAATACCAGAACTACAAGGGCTTAATAAATGTGATTTAAATTCTAGGTTTGTATAACTTCGTCATTTTGGCTGTCAATTGATATTCAAAACTTGTGACCGTATGTCAATTTTTTTTTTATTTTGCATAGATTTATTAATTAAGTTTTTTTAGTGAGTAAATGTAAGTTTTAGTGCTTTTTTAGTGCTTTTAACTTTATCATTATTGGGAAGTGCATCAAATTTTCATTTTTTATATTTTTTTGCCAAACTGACCTGTTCTGTAGTCTGTAGAAAAAGTCTTAATATAATTTTATATCAGTTTAAATGTAAAATCATAATGGAAGAAATTAACTGAATATCTGGAAACATGTATTTTATTTTATTTTTGTGCATGTGTGATCTTTTTAATTAATCAGCTCGCAATGGCATGAGACTAAAGATAAAAAAAGTAATTAATATAAGAAGAAAATGATTGTTTTATTATTGTAGTTATTGAAATAGAGTAATTAGTAATTTTCATTATTTGTTCTTATAGCAATAATTGTAGTTGCTTTGTCTTTAAAAGCTATTATTATTTGGTATTTAAACATCCAAAGAAGGCACCATACTTTCAAGTATTAAAATGCCCTTTCTAAAAATTTGCCATCTAAATATACATGGAAATATTCATATAGTGTATACATCAACTCTCTTGTTACATGATAGATGCATTCCAAAATCAAGTAATTTTATAGTTTTGAAAAACCTCAATACTTTTGCGTATAAACACCCAACTATCTTGGCACATGATAAAAATATTCCAAAGTTAACCATGTCAAATGCCACCATGAAAGGTATTTTAAAACCAACTTAAAATCTTTTTCCATAAAGATACTCCCAAAAAGGGTTACTGGAATAAAGTCGGGCAAAGTCATTCTATCACTGTAGAGCTTCAGGATAATCATGAGTATTTTCATTTCCACCCTAATTATTCAAGAGGTCATTCTGAAGGCCAGGGGCTGTACACGTTATTTAATTTAAGAAGACTGGCATGAGATTGCTGTTAAATTTTGAAAATCCCTCATTTTTTCCGGGGGGTGCTTTTAAATTTTACAAATCTCTCTTTTGGGGGAGAGGTTGTATTTAGTGTGTCATAATCATACTTTTGTTAGTTTTTTTGTTCCTGTGAATCGGGGTTATGTCTTATTTCATTTACAGTAAGTCAAACACATTATTAATAATGTAAAATTTAAAAGAGGTGGTGGAAAAAGCTGTCTGTTTTCAATAAATATATTGTTAGTATTGTATTTTTAGTTAGCATGATGACAACAGGATTCCCCTTAGTTTTTTTTTTATTTAAAAAAAGTCACTAATTATTACTTAATTTTAAAATCTTATTTCATTTTATGATATTTTTTTCTTAAATTTTAAAGATTTTTGTATTTTAAAAATGTTTTTGTGCATAATTATCCACATTTGTTATTTTTTTTTAAAAGTTAAAACATTTAGTTAGAATTTTTTTTAAGTTACAATAGTATGACCTGTATATGTATATAACTGATGAGATGATTAAATTATATCTAATTGCATTTTCATGATCATGTTGAAAAATTTTGAATAGATTTCAAGAGCTGTCAGAAGCTTTATCTAAGCTGTATCAAACTGCCAATATTATACGCCAGTCTAGACTTTTATTGGGAGGACTCGAGCTGAATAGTATTAATATGAAGTTTGAAATTGATCATAGCCTTGCTGCTGCAGTTACAGATGTGAAGTCATCTAAGGTATCTTGTTTTGTAATTTTAAAAAGTCTTTTTAAAAGTGATTATAAAATGCATCATAAATACTGTTGCTCATATTTAATAAAATTCTTTTGGCATACTGCATAAATTACAGTGAAAATCGTTTAACACAAAAGAGGGAACTGAAATATTTTTTCGCATTAAAATAATTTCGTGTTAACCCTTTCGGTACGGGCATCCCATATACACATTCCCTAAGAACTATTCTTACAGCCGGGCATCCCATCCGTGTATCACTAGAGGATTGCAGTCAGAGGACGGGTGATGCGTATACTCATTTTAAGCTGGAATGTTTTTCTGAAGGCCACTAGATGGCATTCTATGTCCATTACTTTTGAAATGAACACAGTTTTAGGTTCCTGACCTTGATTTTGATATATTCTGTTTGACTTTGGTATTTTACTCATTGTTGCGAGGGGGGATGGAAAGCATAAACAGAGATGGGCTCTTTAAATCGCCGCATGCTAATATAAATATTCGCTTGTCTGATTTATATCCAATTCCTTTTTTTTTAATTCTATTTTTTTCCTCTAATATATATGGTCTTTTAGGGTTACTGTGTGGAATTCTGTTACATTTTGCATTGCCTTCAAATATAGTTCCGTTTCTTCTCTTTTTATTTCAGGAATCCTCACCTCCAGTCTAATATGGCGTGAAGGCGCTATTTATGAGAGGAAGAATACCCTCATATGGTTAATGAACCATTTACTAATGCAGATGAGAGTGATGATTATTTTTCTAAAGGGTTAGAAAGTGATGAGTTAGAAAGTGATACTTCTCCGTACGAGATTTACCATACTTAGTCTTCATTTTAAATTTGTTACTTCTTACTGTAAATAGTCTTTATTGTGTTGTTTTATTAATTTTAAACTTTATGATGGATTTTATCAATTAAAACTTTGGAATAATTTGAATAGCGCTTCCGAAAATTATCTTACAAGATAAGCAAATTTGTTAAGTATAATTTTCATGTAAAATAAAGAAAAAAAACTTATTAAGTGCTAATTTTAACATATATAAGACCTCAAGTAATAATCTAAAATGATGCCAAAAATTACGATGCTAGAAGTGAAACTATTCTTTCTGATTTTTTTCTTAGCGATGCAAAACCTCCGTCCTGTACGGCGACTGCCTTCGATTTCCTTCCCGCACGAGCGTCTTAAACAAAGGTGCGCCGTCGCAAAAAGATTAAAGGATATTGGAAAAAACTATATATTCAACTATTAGAGTACTTTTTATTTACATAGATATGTATATGCGTGCATTTAATAAAAATCAATAAAACAAAAACATCCACAAGAACATAATGAAATTTAATACAAAATTTTCAAGTTTTTTGAAAAACAAAACATTTATTGAGTTTATGGAAAATGGTCTGATCTTTTTATTTGCATTGTCTTTCTTAGCATTAAATTGTCAATCAATTGTTTGATGTCATCCATTTTGTTATTCATTTCATCATTGGAATGTACATCTAAATAACTGCACATTCTTTACACGATGTTACTCATTTCGCATGACGTGGTATCTGGAACTGCATTATTCATTTCATTTTCATCATCGGAATCTGCATCAATGATATTTTTTTAGCTTCGAACAAACTCCGAAATGTCTTTGTCTGCCATATTTAGAGCTGTGCACACGTTACCATCAACTACTGCAATGAATTCTTCTGATGATACAGTAGGACAGTCCAATAATACAGAAACTTTCTCAACATTTCATTAAGTGTTGGCTGAGCTGCAATATCCTCCTTCTCCATTTCTTTTGGCACCAAAGAATCTGATACTTTTGATGAGAATCCTGCATGACAAAAATAACTTTCAGTCACCCTTGGAGTCACTAAATTTCATGCAGAGTACGACATATGAAGAGTATCTAATAAATTGATTGAGAAATCTTAAATTGCGAGTAAATATTTTCAAAGGAATTGCTTCCAGTAGAGAAGTTTCATGTTTTGTATAATTCCTTGATCACAAGGCTGCAAGGCATGTATTCGGAGGCAAACAGATAAACTTTATAATTTCGATTACAACGTTGAGGTGAGCAGAACAGTTATCAATTATGATTGCAACCTTACCCTTTTCTCGTAAAACTCCCTCTTCTAACTTTAGGATCCAATCGGTGAACATCGTAGCTATCATCCATGCCTTTTTGTTTGCTGTATATTCGACCAGTAATGTTCTTACATTCTTAAAACACCACGGTCTCAAACTTTTGCCAATAACAGGCATAGTTTAGAACCATCCAAAATGCATCCTGTCAATACCGTAATCCATTGTTTATACAGTTTCTCCCCTGAACACAATTGTCCCTTAAACGATAAAGTTTTATTGGGTAAACAGCAATAAAATAATCCAGTTTTATCCGTGTTGAAGACATCTTTTGCTTCATATTCTTCAAGTATTGAAGGCTGAAAGAAACCAATTTGTTGTCATGGTTGGTAAAACTTGATTAGCTTCACTTTAAACATTTTTAGTACTATGCCATTTCTTTTCTTGAAACGTTCAAACAATCCTGGATTTGCAGAAAATGTAATACCGTAGAAGTCCAGAAATCTGCAAAGCTTAGGGCCTGAGGTTGTGTGGATTTTAGAATTTTGCAGATTTCAGTACAGAAAAGGTAAATCATAATATTCAGTGCAAAAAATCATATAAAAGTGCAAAATAAATAAGGCGTATTAGATACATTTAATTAAATTATTGTATATATTATTGCAATAACTTATTATATGCATTAAATTATTATTACATATATAAATTGATTATATTATTTACAGCACCGAGGTTTGCCGAGCATATATACACAGCATCGAGGTTTGCCGATTTCACCTCATGCAAAGATTTCCGAATCACTGTTGCTGTAAAATTTCAACAGCTTTTCTTTATTTTTCCGTATATCATACACAATTGTATCGCAATTCCATATGATCTGCTATAAATCGAGAAGTAGCACCTGTCTCCATCTTTTGCAGAATTTGCACTTTTTGCATTACTGTCAATGCAACGTGTTTATGTATTTCAACATTTAAAAAAAAAAAAAAAAAAAGTCAGCACTAAATAATCTCGTGAAATAACAAAGCTAAAAAAATACAACAACGTGAATCGTAAACTTGAAAGAAGAGTTGAGTGAATCGTCTGCTTTCTTACCTCGATGCATATTAGAGGGGAAAAAACTTTTATCATGATGTCAATAATTTAGTATTTCCGTTATGACTCATTATTATTCGGTAATTATGACGTCATTATTCAGTAAGTATTTTTTCTTTGATATTTTGTACTTAATGCAGTTTCCAGAACCTATAAACTGAATGTTTATATTTTGAGAGGCAAACGCGGATTTTCGGTATTTGACTGTACCAATTTGTTTAGCAAGTCATTGCTTCTTTCTAGCCCTAAACGTCCTGAAATGGGAGCACTCCAAGAGCTCTCTTGTTTGAACCAAGCAAGTAAAGCTGTCTAAATCCTCATGCTTGGCCATTCTCATCCGTTTTACCTTTGGCTCAAACTTACTCCCTTCAAACATTTCCTTAATTTGCTCTTTTTTAATTGTTTTTGATCGAAGCTCCATTTTCATTTTAAGCGAAATAGCAGTTTGCTCCCCTTCCAGCTCTTTGCTGTTGTGCTTCAAAAAAAAAATGCTAAAATAGGAAAAAAAAGTGAAACAAACTCACTTATTTTTACTCACATTGAGATGTACTCATCACCGAATTCCAAAGCCGATGAGAGATGATGAGATGTTTTTGTGCTGTGTTTGTATTGGTGGAGGGTGAAAGTAGCTCAGTTAAACAAAATTGGCTCCTATCACAAGCTATTCCTAGGGTATTTTAAAGCCAAGCTAGCCTCCTTTCTACAAACATGTGTAACCACCTCTCTTTCATTTCACACCCTTCTCAAATCTCACTTGTGTGGCTGGTGTTTTCTGTATTTTGTTCATTTCTAGAAGGGAAATCTTTTTCTGATAAGCAATTTTCATTTCGTGTTAAGAGAAAAAAATGCGTGAAAATACACAGTAGTTTATTGGGACTGCTGTATTATTTCATGTTAATTCATTCATGTGTTTCATGTTCATATTTCGTCTTAAGTGTTTTCATGTTAAACGTAATTTCACTGTATATGATTTAAATGGTAAACAGTATTTGGCCCTAAAGTAATCTCTTATAGCTCTTATGTCATTCATTTATTAAAAATCTCTGTTTATTTCATTTTCTTCTTTTTAAGTCAATTTCTTTTTTATAAGTTTATTACTTTGCTTAATATTTAGGAGTCATACTAGGCAAATCAGGTGAATCTAAAGATACCTACCTATCTTTTATATAATTTGTATCCTTCAGTTACCTTCTCCTTTCTCCTTGCCGCCCCCCCCCTTTTTTTGCATGTGACAAAGCATATATGTATAACATAAAAATTAACATTTTGATTTAAGATCTTCATAAAAAAACTGAAGTATAAATTATTAAATTTATTTCAAATATTTAAGTTTCTCTATGCTTTTTGAACGTAAAAATATAAATGAATTTTTTTTTTTATAATGTCCCTTTTAAGATCTATTTCTTTGATATGAAAATTTCTTTTCTGCTGTATATAATTGTGTAATTTAATTTTTCTGTTATAGTGATGATATATTTTTCCTGATAATAAATTCATAATGTAATTAATATATTTTAGGAACTTGCAATACACAAAACAGTAGCAGAATGCATGATTTTTGCTAATCACTGGGTAGCCAAAAAAATTAGTGAAGCTTTTCCTCATCACGCTGTGGTAAGAATGTTGTGGCTTATGCAGAACTCAAATTAGTGACTGTTCATCTCTGGCCTCTGTGCTGTTATCTTTTCTAGAATTCTTGAGTTTTTTTTTTTTTTTTTTTTTTTTTTTAAGTTTATTATTAGATAATTCCCCGTAATATACAAAAATTCGCTTAGTTTTGAAATAAAGTCAATAGTTTTGTTTATATAAAGAAAATATTAAACCTGTAATTACGTATAAATAATAAAATTAATATGCAAATAATTACATTTTCTGTCCTTCATTATTTTAGAATTTAACGTTCTTGTTTGATCGCTTTAAATTCATAGAACAGCATATAAATATATGGGATTTCAGTTCTTTTTGCTATTATATTGTACAGTGCAGAATGTTTAGTCCTTTTTCATTCTTTTAAAAGTCATACAAAATATTTGAGTACTAATATGTACATGATAAGTTAGCTTTCTTTGATTTTTTTAAGAAAAATTTTTAAAAAAGAAAGAAAAGAGGGGGAATCTAAAAAAATTTCATGTTTAGATCCCTTCTCACCCCATCTGAGAGTAAAATTTAAGATTATTATCTATAGTGAAAGTTTTCATTATTCTCTTTAATCAACAAAAGCAGAAAAGAAGGCTGTAAAATATCAAATAAAGTAGTATAGTCTTTTTCGAAAGTAACCTTTGATCATTTTCTGTTTAAAAAAACAATTATTTAGTGTATTTATTAGCCAGTGAATATGGATCAACATTTATTTAATGATTTTGTTTTATGGTATAAATAACGTTATTTTTAAATGATTTTTTTGTATAATTGTAGTACATTTTCTGGAAAAATAACTTCAGAACATGTTAATTTAATGTAAACCAATATTTTTAGTTATATTTATTAATATAAATTTATGTAAATAGTTATTTAGTTAATATTTATTAATATGAATTTATGTAAATAATTATTTAGTTAATATTTATTAATATAAATTTATGTTAACAGTTATTTAGTTAATATAAGGTCTACTGGAAAGTTCTGTCCTTTTCTATGACAACAATTTTGGATGCACGTAAGCACTTGTTTATTTGGAGCATGTTCGGCTCTCTATTTTTATAGCTTAATGTATACATACTGACGTAGCAATTTAACTAAAGCAAAAGCTTGATTCACAGTTAAGTCTTAAGTGTGGAAGCGATAGTATAGCCATTGGCTACTGATAAAAGGATAAATTTCATTTACGCCACTGTATTTTATACGAATTTCAACAAGGAAAAAATGCTACAGAAGCATGTAGAAATTTATTAAAAGTGTTTGGTGAAGGTACAGTGTCTGATAGAACATGCAGAAGATGGTTCGAAAAATTTGAAACAGGTGATTTCAACCTTTCTGACAAGTCACGTTCTGGGAGACCATCTTTGATCGACAGCAATATTGTTAAAAGCATGTTAGAGCAAAATCCTTTTCTGACAACACGGAGAATGCAGAAAGGCTTAATTGCCATTACTATTAATGACTTCTTGCCAGCGTGAGGGCAATTTGCATATTCCATTTCTGAAAAATGTTTCATCTTTTGATGCGAAAAATTGAATACGTGCTAGTTTGATATCATTTTCATTTTTGAATTTTTTGCCCTTCAAAAAATTTTTTTGCCCTTCAAAAGACAGCTCAGCAAACCATTTCGGACCATATTTGGAAGATAGGATTGGTGTCGAATTATTCAAGATGGGTGCCACACGAATTAAGTCAGAAGAATTTGGATGATCGAGTCGTCATATGCATATCTCTGCTTGCTCAGAACAAAATCGAGCCCTTCTTGAACCGTATGATAACTGGGGATGAAAAGTGGATTACCTACGAATACATCGTAAGGAAAAGGGCATATTGTGAACCCGGAAAACCTAGCCCTTCCACCTCTAAACCAAATTTGACTCTGAATAAGAGAATGTTGTGTATATATGATGGGACATTCGAGGTCCAATACACTATGAGCTTTTAAAACTGAAGAAAAAGCTAATTTCGGAGAAGTATTGTCAGCAACTGGATAATTTAAAGCCAGCAGTCCATAAAAAGAGACTGGCGATGTTCAACAGGAAGGACATCATACTACATCATGATAATGCCAAGCCACCTGCAGCTTTGTGGACTCGTCAAAAAATTGCAGAACTAGGCTGGGAAATTTTGTCACATCCATTGTATTCTCCGGACTTAGCACCCTCCGACTATCGCTTGTGTTTGTTGTTAAAAAATTTTTTGAAGGGCAAAAAATTCAAAAATGAAAATGATATCAAACTAGCACGTATTCAATTTTTCGCATCAAAAGATGAAACATTTTTCAGAAATGGAATATGCAAATTGCCCTCACGCTGGCAAGAAGTCATTAATAGTAATGGCAATTATATTATTTAGTAAAGTTTATTGATGGTAAGAAAAATTTGTGTTTTATTTTATTAAAAAAAAAAACAGACAGAACTTTCCGGTAGATCTTATATTTCATTATTAGTAAATGAATTGACTTATTCTATTTCCCGTCGGTAGCTATATATCACAATAAAATAACACCACACAGATTACAGAAAATAACATACTCAAACTTTCAATACATTTATTTTCCATAGCGACTCTCTGGCGCTAGGTTTCACTTTACAGCGTAACGTATGAATCGCAACTTCGAATGTACCACAAAAATCAAGTTTCTCACAGAATATATTTCAGCGCCAATTCTGGTGCACATACACTATTAGCCAAGATTCTCCTCTGTCGCCAAATATTTCTCAGCTAATACAAAATACTCCCGACGTTGAAATTAACAATTTCAAAACTATTATTACAATAAATGTAAATATAAATTACTGCAATAAATTACTTCACAATAACAAATCACAATATTAAAAAATATACATTCAAATCATTACAACAAATACCTGTTTATAATAGAAATAAACCATCATTCTACAGGAAGTATACATATATCTCGAACATTTCGTTTTAGCAAATGTTGATTAAGCAATCTTACAGTTACTACTCTTATTTTGTTATCCCTACCATGAAAAACCTCAGCTATTCTCCCCACTAATCATTTAGTTAAAGGCAAATTTTCATCTTTTATTAATACAAGATTTCCCAACTGAACGTCATCCTTTAAAAATTTCCACTTGTGACATTCTTGTAAATTATTAAGATAATCACGTTTCCATAATTTCCAAATTTTTTGTGTATACTTAGTTATTCTTTGCCATTTAGAAAGTCTGTTTTCATGTATGTTGGATAAATCTTGCTCAGCAAGAGTTGTGATACTAGGTCTACCAACCAAAAAGTGACCTGGGGTCAAAGTTTCAGAGTTATTGTAATCAGCTGAAATTGGTAGTTTAATACTCCTTCAATTTCAGTTAAAACAGTTAAAAATTCTTCTGAAGTTAAACACTGATTACTAATAACTCTCTTCAAATGACTCTTAAATGATTTAACCCTGGCCTCTGAAATTTGGCGACTTTGGAGGAATAAATTTCCACTCTATACCTTCAGTGGTATACAAACTCGCTAAATTCTCATCTGGACACTCAATCAATTTTTTTTTTTTTTTTTTTTTTTTTTTTTTTTTTTTTTTTTTTAGTTTTACACTAGTTTTACAATAGTATTTTGCGAGTTTACACACTTACCTCTTTTTCAATTGATTTTCTTCTCGAAACTTCTTGAAACTCACTTTTTTGGGCCTCTAATAAAATATACACCTCAGCATCCTTTGTCTCTTCTAAAGTAAGTACTCCATACCTCCTTACCTGGGGGTTCTTAAGATTATGGATAAACCTGAAAATGAAACTTACAATATGAATAAGTTTAGTATAATTAGAAGACAAATTAAGAATATCATTAAAGAGGTTTGGTTCATTACATGCAATTAAAACTAAGTTAGAATCATTATGCAGTTCATTGTCCCTTTTAAGTTCATTTGGACACACCTCTTCAGCAACCTCAAGTGGTAAATCCTGATGAGGAATCTCTGAGCATGTTAGAAAGTCATAGCTTGACCACCATTTGGAACAGTTCACAAGAAAGTCAGTTTGAACACCACGCGTCATAACATCTGCTGGGTTCACTTTTGTTGAACAATATTAGAACCACTTTGTCGCCTGTGTTAACTTCCTAATCTCGTTAATTCTATTGGTGATGAAAGATTTCCATTTGGTACTGGTACCTTTAATCCAGCATAGCACTATTTTGGCATCAGTCCAATAAAATATTCTCGAGGATTTCTTTTGATCGAGCAATTTTTTTCACTCCAGAACCTAAACGCGCTGCTAGTAATGCATCGAAGTAATTCAAGACGAGGTAACGTAATTCTTTCACAGATGTGCAACACGACATTTTGATGCAACAAAATTTCGTGCAGAGGAACTTTCTTCTTGCCTTACGCAGTTTTACGTAGACAGTAGTACAGTACCGTACGCTCTCTGACTAGGCATCTGAAAAGCAATCAATGGATCTCTATGGAATCAGGCTTCGGGATTTCAAAATTGAATCTTGGAACTGCGAATTTTACTTAGATGATGACACTCACAGCACCACTTTGCCCACTCTTGACAGATATCTGTAGGTAGTTCACCATCCCATGTCAATTTTCGAACCCAATTTCGAACCTAATTAAGTTCTTGTAGCAAGAATTTAAGTCTAACAGTAAATGGAGTTATTAACCTAAAAGGATCAAAAATCTTCCCTGCAGTTTTCAAGATGAATCGTTTCGTATTACGCTTATTCTTAAGAAATTCCGTCAAACTGTCTGTGTCTATACTTAGACTGTCTTCATTAGTATCCCAAAACGTTCCCAAGATCTTAAGTGCCTCGTTTGAGTCATTCATTTTATGTGGATGGATCTCAAACTCTTCTTCTTCCCATTTTCTCATCAGCTCAGGATCATTGGATACCCATTTATGCAAGTTCATATTTGCTTCACTCATAATTTGTTTAGCTTTACACAATAAGCTTAGAGCCTCGTCTATACTGACCTGTCCAGTAATAAAATTGTCAACATAAACACATGAATTCAATATTTCAAATACATCTGGCTGCTCATCTCAACATTTTCTAATGTGTTCTTTAATTGTTGCAGCCAACAAAAACGGACTTGACTTAATCCCAAAATTTACGCGCTTGAATCTATATGTCGTTAGTTGTAGATCATTTAATTGTGTGTTTTCCACAAACAGGAATCGCACTGCGTCTTGATCCTTTTCTGCCAAAGCAATCTGCAAAAAGGCTTTTTCCACATCCGCTGAAATTGAAACTTTATTTAATCGGAATTTAATTAGCAGATGAAACATGATAGGATTCAAATTTGTCCCTGTCTAGACAATCGTTCAGTGATAACTACCCGAACTCATGTGAGTTACCATCAAAAACTATTCTAGTCTTCGTTGAAGCACTGGTTTTTCTAAATACCGGTTGGTGTGGTAGGTAAAAGACTGGTTTACGGATAGGTATATTTCCATCTGACACTTTCTCAATAATACCTTGCTTGAGATAATCATCTAATATTTCACTATATGTAGAAAACAGTGTTTTGTCATAATTCATTCGCTTTGCAAGAGTTTTTAATCTATTTTCCGCTACTCGGTAATTATCAGCTAATTCACTCCAGTCTCTTTTCCAAGGTAAAGTAACCTCGTAGTGACAAGCTTTAAAACAAACTGTGTTATTAAATATTTCCAGTGCTTTGTCTTCCTGATGACAATAAGGATCATCTTTAATCGTAATGATTCTAGTTCGAAAAACATTTTCAATTCACTCTCTGAATTATCATTTATTAACCCACAATATGATAAATTAATTTTCCTTGAATTATTTATTTTTCCACTAACTATATATTCAAACACACTATTTTGTAATATCAAGCCTGTGTGAGGAACATAGATTTTACCAGCTCGTAACATATCATAAAAAACTTCTGCACCGAGCAACAGGTTTACTTTCTCTTGTTTATAAAATTCCTGATCCGCTTAATTCACCTTTTCAAGAATCATAAGGTTACTAACATCAATAAACTAACATCGATAAAAAGCGGGAGTTAAACCTGCTATTTTTGGAATTACCAAAACCTGTAGTTTCCTTTTATACGTTTGTTCCTGATTGCAGATAAGGGCAACTGCTTTTCTTTTTATTGTAGTTGAAATATTTGATATACTGCAAACCAAAATATTTGTCCTTTCCCTTTTTAAATTAAGTATATCTGCTAATTCAGTGGTACAAAAACAAGAAACACTTCCACTATCGTATAACGCTTTCACCTTAATTAAAGTTTCATCATTAGTCTCATTGAATACAAAAGCAGTAGATAAAATCACGTTTTTCCCACTGTTAGTACCCGTAGCGGCTGTAAAGGTTTTGTTTTGAGTTTTAGCTTGAAATGTAGGATCAAAACGCATTGCTGTTTTGATCACCCAACTCCTGATCTGAAGAGTCTGCCCTTTCTACTGTGGTACCTACGGAATTGTGTTTGTTTTGATAACATAAAAGAAAGCTATGTTTTTTCTTGAACTTCTCACAAGTAATTAGAACGGCAGTTTTTCACACTGTGCAAATTAAAACAACAAAAACATAAATTCTGCTTTTTCACAAATTCTACCCTTTCTTTTACACTTAATTTCTGAAATTTAGGACAGTTAAAAAGCTTATGATTGCTCAAATTACATAACCTACACAAATGCTGTATATGTTTTTCATTTGCATTAGAAATGATGGCGGTAACTCTATGTGTAACTTTTTTTGTATTAGTCACACTATTTGAAGCATTGAGAGTTCTTGCATGATCTTTAAGAAATTCTATAAGATCTGTTAAATTAGGCAAATTTTCTTTCTCTAATTTTCTTTTCCACCATATTTTAGTGTTAGGATCTAATTTTTGCCCTAAAATATATGCAAATACATTGGAAGAAAATCCTTTAAAACTCTGATTTAAAACTTCTAATGATCTCATGCATTCATTTGTAATGTCAATTAAGTTTAATATTGCTGATGCAGACTCATTTTGCATAGGATGCATATTCATAAATTGTTTCAGATGAGCATACACTTGTTTGCGGTGATTAGAGAATCTTTCTTCTAGCAATGAAAAGGCTAATTTATAATTAGAGTCAGCTATGGATATTGACTGCACAATACGATAAGCATCTCCTCTTAGGGCAGATTTTAAATACTGTAATTTGATTGCATCTGTTAAATTTGGCTAATTAAAATTGGTTTTTAAATCAACACTGGCTAAAAAGATATCTTTAAATGAAAGCCACTCATGTAAGTTACCCAAAAACTTTGGCAAAGTAATTTTGGGTAATTTAACATTGTTCTCAGTATTTGTGCAAAATGAAGGTTCCGATTTAATTTCTTTGGAAAGTTTAGCTAATTTACGACTTAGTTTGACTTCTACATCTAAGAGAATATCGTCAATCTTTTTTTTCTCTTTTACATAAGCATCAATGCTTTCTTCCATACATAGCCCGAACAAAGATTCGAAATTGGAATTTATCTCTGTCTCAAGCACTTTAAACTTATTCTTCAGTACTTCCAAGTCACTTCCTTGGACGTTTTTGTCCACAACTTTTTGTTTTAACTTTGTTAACTGTGTTTTCAATGTACATTTTTTCACTAATATTGCCTTTAGTGACATTTTAATTATCAAAAGTCAATAAACAAATAAAGAGCTTCAAAAAAAGGGGAGGGTATTTACCCTTTTGTTTCTACAGAACTTCAATCTGGAAGTATCCTATGTAATTCTTCGTTTCACAAAACCGAAAGTAATATCATAGTCTCATAAACTTCAGTTAGCTGCTTCCGGCTCGACGGACCAAAAAACTTGAATTGACTTATTCTATTTCCCGTCGATAGCTATATATCACAATAAAATAACACCACACAGATTACAGAAAATAACACACTCAAACTTTCAATACATTTATTTTCCATAGCGACTGTCTGGCGCTAGGTTTCGCCTTACAGCGTAACATATGAAGCGCAACTTCGAATGTACCACAAAAGTCAAGTTTCTCACAGAATATATTTCAGCGCCAATTCTGGTGGCGCATGCGCTACTACCCAAGATTCTTCCTTGTCGCCAAATATTTCTCAGCTAATACAAAATAGTAAACTGCATAAAAGTTGCAGTGAAATGGAAATATTTACAAACTGGCTGTCTTCTTTAACAGGTGGAATTCAAATGAATGACTTCATTTTCTTCTAGGATACATGGTAGGGAATAAATATCGGATATAAGCTCCCAGTAAGCCTATTTCCATCACAACAAAACAGATGTATTAGCTACATATACCATCTTCATGAAGTTATAGGAAATACAGTACAAAGTCCGTAATCCGGACTCGTTGGGACTTCGGCGATTTCGGATTAGGGGTTTTTCCGGATTATAGATCATCAATTTAAATCTGGTAAAATGGCATGCAGAAATTGTACAATTAAAAATATGAAACCGTAATTTATGAAATAAAGAGCAATTATTATCTAAAGGGTATCAAAATTTACAAAAAAAAAAAAACTTAATATTTATTTGTTTACTTTAGTAAACATTTCTATCAATGTAAGTTGTTTGCTAATACTTTCTCTTTAATTCTATAAACAGACATAATTTCTTGTTCAGTTACAAAGTTCCACTGTAATTGCTGTGTTCAGAATACCGACTAACTTGTCAATCGAAATTTTTTCATTTTCAATAATGTTCTCTGTTACTTTCTTCACTATCGTAAGCGCGCATTTGTAAACGCTTTACTGGCTTTACACGCATGCGTAGCGGACGCACACATCAAACATGCATGTGTAAGCTTGTGGCTTTGAGGTCCGGATTATAGATCATTCCGGATAATGGACGTCCGGATTAGAGACTTTGTACTGTATTATGCAATGTATCTTTAGCCATCTAAGATGTTCAGATGATATAAATGGAATATCTGAACTCTCTAATTAATTCATGACCGAAAACAAGACAACATTAATCAAATATGTAACAAAACATCCTCTTTATACTAAAGAAATGGACAAAGCTGAATTTTTAATAAACCTTAGCATAAAAGTGGTTTTAAAATCAGAGAAGCTGTTGAAATCATCTCAAGATCATGTTGTAATAGAGAACTATTTTTCAGTTTCCCATATATTTGGATGTCCATTCTAAAAACTGCTGCAACCTTGCATGAAACCACAAAAAAGTGTAACTGCCCTAAAAGAGCTGAATAGGAGAAAGTCATTTTTTTTCCAGTTAACAAAGTAATTGAGTTTGTGAAAGCTATTCCTCACTGTAATTCCTACATATTTTAACATTCTTTTATTCATCATTTTAATGCTATGTGTACTGTTTAACCCACTGAATACCATGACCACCTTTATCCAGTTAAGAGATTTCGTGTCAACTTTATCCAGTTATGAGATTTTGTGTCACCTTTATCCGGTCATGTGATTCATTAGATTGTAATTTTAAATATTTTACATTCTTACCTTTGTAATAATGTAAATGTTCTCTTAATGAATGGAAACTTAGATGCTATTTAATTATTAATTAATATTAAGCTATCTCTTAGAAACTGTATAAAATAGTCTTAGTAATTAGTCTTAGTAGTTTTAATATCAGACTTGTCTTTCATTTCATAGTTGCGTCATCATCCTAATCCCAGGGAGGCAGATTTGCTTGAAGTACAGAAGTTAGCTTCATCAAAAGGTTTTGCATTAAATATTCATTCAAACAAAGAACTAGCTGCATCACTTGAAAAAGCTGTAAATGTTAATGATCCTACCTTTAATCAGGTAATTCTGTAATGAAGTTTTTTCTCTTTCTTTACTGTTCTAGTACATTATAATCTTTAACATCTAGTTTAATTTCAGATACTTCGCATTTTAACCACTCAAGCTATGAATCAAGCAGTTTATTTTTGTAGTGGTAATATCAGTAGCTCAGCATTTTATCATTATGGTTTGGGATTAGACAAGTATACACATTTCACATCACCTATTCGAAGATATGCTGATATATTGGTAAATACTGGCATTTTTTATTTTTGTGCAAATTTTCAATTGTAATTTCCTTGAATGTGTATGTCTAAGATGCATGTTTTTCAAAGTTTTAGTTTGGTTAGTTAGTAGTGAATCTGGCAAAGTGCACAAGGGCTGTTGCCTAAAGGGAGGGATGCCATTCTGGAGAATCTTTTAAGCGAAATGGCTCAGCTTGTTTGCCTGAGTCAAACTAAAGTTGATTTATCAGTATTCAGCAATCTTAGCCACTTAGTCACTGGCAGGGTTAATGTTTTAAGAGTAAAACTTGAAAATATTTTTTTCAATAGTTGTAACATAACTTTTTTTAATTAGGTTATGATTAAGATATCTTTTTAATATTGTTTCAAAAATAATAAAAAATGTATTATATTACATTGCTTGTCAAATCACAAAAATTCTAACTTGAATCTTAGTTATGTCTTCATTAACATCCTCTTAATTAATATTTATTTATATTTACTTAAGAGCACATTTTCAAGTTTAATTTAATGTAATCCTAATATGTTTTTATATTTTACACATTTTTAATAAAAAATTTGATTAAAGACTGTTTTAATTTCAGAGTATAAAAGATCAATAAATAAGGCTGATTCAAGAATAAAATCTGAATTTTGAATAATTACTCACTAAAGAGGCCAAAAACATATGAAAAGGGGGAGAACTTTCATAATCATAATGCATATTTTAATAGTCACTGAAAAAAAAAACAGTTATTCAAAAAAAATTCCCACGAACAATAATTAATAGCAGTTAAAATTTTTGAAATTTTTACTGAAATTAATGCTTACTGAAAATTTCACAAACAATGAAAATATCTTTTATAAATTCGACAGATAAGTACTTTAATTCAGCTTTTGACCCACTGCTTGCCATTTAAATCTAGTGATGAGAGAAGAACATCCACAGAGATCTCCATAGTTTAGTGTAAATTTATTCTTGATTGTAATCTAAATTTTTTTTATTATTATCAAAGAAATAAGTAGTGACACTGCCATTGCCAATTAAAATTAATTTTTTAAATACAAGTTGAATTTTTTTAAAGCCTTAATTTCGATGTACTTTAAATTCCTTTTTCCTTGTAATGATATATTAGTAAGTTAGATTAAAATCTTTATGCTAAATCCTCATCAGACTATTATATCTTTGTTATGTACAATATTATCAGAATTAGTGCTCTTGCAAATTACATAAAATCCAGTAGTTTGATTGTTTTTCTTTGAACTCAGTAAACTTGCAAACATGAGAACACCTGAGAAAAGTAAATGCATTAAATCGTAAATCACCAAGTAACTAAAACCAAATTAGTGAAACAGATTTGAATTCTCTGAATTTCTACAAATTTATTTAGCACTGTTTCCATAAGTATTCATCATTAGCAGAGATGAACTTATGTCATCTACAAAAGCGGCACCCATTCAGTAAGTGACACTTAACCAGGTTCATATTAATTACAATGCTACAATACTAAATTTATTAAATGTTTTTAACCCTTAGGTAGATACAATTACTATAATATATACACTACTAAAATTACATCTTCTTATTGTTTAAGATAGCATAATTGATTTTAAATGTTAAGTCATATATGTATACATTTCCTTTATTCATAAAAAGAGCAAATCTCAGTAAGGTATTTTCATAATTAAAAAAGTACCAAATACTCATTATTTTCACTTCAGAAAGAAATCTGAAGGAGTGACGTCTGAGCTGTAGGGTGGCTGGAGAAGATATGTGATTACATGTTTGGTCAGACAGTTCATGATAGCAAAGGTGGTGCGAGTTGGCGCATTGTTGTGATGGAGTCTCCATGATCCAGCAATTGCTGGACAGATACAGACAACTCATTTTCTGAGTCTAAAGTACAAGTACAGCCCAAATTTTGCTTCTTCAGACCTCTTCCTTTTCCCTGACTAAAAAGAGTCATGAAAGGTTGGCACCATGGCTCAGTCCAGCCATTCAAGAGGCCGTAATGAGCGAGCTGAAGAGCATTCTAGTTTCTGTGTTCCAGGGAGCCTTCAGTGATTAGCAGAGTCGCTGGAAAAGCTGTTGATGCAGAAGGGGCATTTTCAAAACTATTAGTTGATGTGTCAAAATTGTGAATGTGTTTTTTTAATATATATATATATATATAATTTTTATATTATATATATATATACATCAGTTCTACTATTTACCGTGCAGACCCTGTGTAAGGCTAATAAAACTTAGTAACTTATAACCGTGAGATTTCTGGGCAAACTAGCCCTGCTTTCTTCATAATTTCTTGTATAAAATTTGATAATCAGAGAAGGGAAAGAGAAGATAATATATATGGCACTCAGAACATCCTTTTTGATGACAATAATGTTGCAAATGTTTATGAAATTTGTCACTGGGCTGTATATAAAAAAACTGCATGTATTTTGAATTAGATTAATTAGATATTTTAAAAAAATGTTCATTTAATTTATTGTGAAATTAGTGTATTACTTTTAAATCACTGAATTTGTTAAGTAAATATTTTTTTAAAGATAAATTGAAAATCTTATGTAATGTTTAATGGCAACAATGAAAACTGGATATTTGCTAGGTTAGATGGGAAATAAATGAGGGATCTTGTTTTGCATGATGATAACATTTGTCGCCTTGAGTGGATGATAAATGTGTGGCAGTGAAGCATAATGAAAAGTTCAAAAATTTTGGTAGCATTCTGTTAAAAATGTTTCTATTTTCTTTCTCTTTTATTGTCATCTGTTCTGTATACATTCAGGTGATCTCTTAAATTAAAATTTTACCTGTGCCCTCTGCAAAGAAAGTTCTGATCAGTAAGTCGTTTCTTATCCTACGAAAGATCATTTAAAAAATACGTATTGAGCAAAATTTGCCCTCGGAAAAATTCTTAAAAAACATGTTACCCTTTTACTTAATAAAAAGTAAAAGTAAAGGCATCATTTTAGAAATTATATAAAACTTGAATTATATTAAATAGAAAATTTGAAATTATATTATATAAGGAACAATTGAGCATAGGTGAATTCAATTTTTATGTCAAAAGAAGAAGTTGAATGCAATGCACCTGCATATTACATAAAAAGTATCTTCTTGAAATATATGTTCTATACTTACACTGCTCTGATAAGAAATGCCTTTAAAAAAATTGCATTGTCAGTTGGTTTTAGCAGTTACTTGTAGATAATTCCTAAAATTTTAGCTTAAGAATACAGTGGGTGATCGGTTAACAAACATAATCTGCTATAAGACTATGTTCGCTATCCGAATTGTTCGTTAACCGATCATAGATTTACCATATACACTCACTTCCAAAAGTTAAGCACGAAGATGTAAAATGCAAAAAAAATCAACAAATACTCCTTTGATTGACACAAAATTCAGCAGGAAAGTAGCATATATATTTATGCATAAAACAAAATCAATAATTATATACAGAAATGAAAACAATATTAAATTTTTGTAAGTTATCAGGTAATGACATACTGGAGACTTAAATAATAATAATAAAAATAAATAAATAATAATAATAATAATAAAGGTAATGACATACTGGAGAATTATGTTTAAAGCAAAAATAAACAGCATAAAATGAAAAAAAGGACATTAATAGGGTAGGTAAACCCCCCTCATATGTATACAAAGTTTACACTTTCTGACCATTCTTTCAATTAGGTGGTCAAATTAAGCAATCGCCATTCTTCTTGAAGAGCAGTTTCCAGCTCAATAAGAGTGGTTGGAGGTGGGAAACGTGAAGATACAGTATGGCCAAGAGCATCCCAAAGATTTTCAATGGAATTAAGGTCGGGCATATATGCTGGCCACGCCATACGCGCAATCCCTTCACTCTCCAGGTAGTCATTGACAATGTCAGCTCTGTGGGGAGATGCGTTATCATCCATTAAAACAAAAGTAGGGCCAACTGCTGCAGCGTACAATCTCACAACGGGTTCTAGGACTTCATCTCGATACCGGATAGCCGTCAAAAGAACCCGTGTAAAGATGTGCAGGTCAGTGCGGTATCCTAATGAAATCCCTGCCCACACCATAATGCTTCCGCCTCAGAAAGCGTGATGTTCGGTGATGTTTTGGGACTGATTGTGTGTTCGTTGTTCACGCCATATCCTTATATGCTTGTCATATGGCTTCAGAGCAAATTTTGACTCATCAGTAAACATTACATTATCCCAGTCAGACACATTCCAATTGACATGTTCCCGCCACCACTGTAATTGTGCCCCTCTTGATTAGACGGATAAAGAAGCTCAAACTCGAGGTACCCAGGCGTGCAATCCACTCATATGTAATCTCCGGTGTTCAGTAGCTGCAGATATCGCCTTACCAATGGACGCCGTAACCATAGATGTCACACGTGTGGAGGTTGCTCTGCGATTCCGCTTGGTTACAATAGCAATATATCGATCTTCCGCGTGGGTTGTAACCCTCGGGTGACCGGCTACGGACCTTCAGACAACTGTCTTTGTGGTTTATATTTTTTCCGTAAATGTGAAATTACAGAATGATGAACGCCGAAGAAAAGGGCAACATCCATGATCGACTGTCCTGCTTTAATGCACCCCACAGCACGCTAGCCCTCAGAATCTTCCATTCGTCTTCAGGAAGTCACCGAAACACGTATGTCTTGTAAACAAATATTTTGAAAGTTTTAAACATCTTCTATCAGCACTTACAATCAACTTCTGTAACCCTTCATAAAGCTGGCTTCTTATAAGACTGCCTTTTTTGCATATTTCTTGACATGAAAGCACAATTGGCTGTTACCTAACATATTTGCATACTTCCATCTACCTCTGCAGCGACAATCGTATCTTAACAGTACCAGGACGGAAGTTATTTTCATCGCCTGAATGACACAAGATTCTAAATTTCAAGTTAATCGGACAATTAGTTGAATTTTTACAACTTTTCGCCTAATTTTCGGACTTAGCGACTGTTAACCAAAGAAAGTTGCCTCCCTCGGCAATACAAGGTAC